TGCAGATAATGCAGGCTATATGACTTTCAAGTCTGGCAGTCCCCTCTAACGTTAGTTTCCTCTGCATGCTGTGTTTTTGTGTGCACGCATGCATACACCACATGTGTGCTATTTATGTGGACATGTTAAATGAAAGGAAATACAGCATATTTACAAGTCTTTTCATTTCACTTTCTTAGGAGGTAATTCCTCATCTATAAAACAGGTCTGTGTTGTTGTTAGGTGCCATTGAGTCAGGCCTGGCTTGTAACGACCCTGTGCATAACTCAGTGAGACACTACCTGACCCTGCACCATCCTGGCAATTGTGCTTGAGTTCAGTGTTGCCACCACAGTGTCCGTTTATCCTGTTGAGGGTCTTCCTTTTTCCCCTGGCCTTCTTCCTCTTTTTTGTGGAGACACAGAGAGTAGTTGAATATAACAAATAGGAATGTCTAAAGGCCTGGGTTTTCCCCACCAGGAAGAGGGGTGGTGAGGCCAGAATCAGGCAACTCTGGAGGGTATCTGTGAACAAGAAGGGACCCCAGATACCCTCTGGCTGTGGGCCCAAGAAGGGAGTGCTAAAGGGAGAGGGGGTCTGCTATCCAGCCTCAGGCCTAGCCCTGGCTGGTGGTGGTTGAATCTATGAGAGGGAAAGGCTGTGTACTGAGGGGCACTGGCACTTCCCCGTCACCTGGTCCCAGTATTTCCACCTCAGCTCTGTCAGTCCTGCTCAGCAGGTGCACCTAGCATGGGGCCCTGCTCTAGAGTCGAGCTGCCCTGACTGCTTCCTCAGTGGGTCTCCTATCCCAGTGTCTCATTGTGAAAGTGCTAAACTGGGCCTGTTCGTGGAGCCATCAGGACATGTGCTTGTGGGCACCCTTGCTTCCCTGTCCCCTGCTGCTCACACCCCTTGCCTAGAAGACTGCTCTCTTATATTCTCTTGCTGTCCCCAATGTATACATATACAGCAGTCACTGACCCATAGCAGAAACTGGATCCTGCCACCCCAGCATAAAATCCTTCTGTGATGTGAAGGATTAGGACCCAGATCCTTAACCTTGTGTCAGATAGAGCCTGGCATGGTCTGGCCTTGTCCCGCCACCTGCCCCCATCTCTCTCTCTCATCTCTCCACTGCAGGCTTTTTTGCCCAAGGTCCTCTAACCCTTCGCCACCTCTACCTCTCTTGGCATTCTGGCTGTTTCTTTCCCTCCTTGTAGTTTATCTTGGATATATGCTGTTAATATACACTGTGAGGACAATCCATGTTCCAGTGACATCTTTCTACCCAGGGATTCCTCTGAAAAAGATAGGTGTTATTACTGTCTTTAGTGGAGGAATCCTTCCCTTTGCTCCTGGCCTATGACCTTTGGGCCTCCTCTGGGAATTGGGGTGAGGCTATAGTTTCCACCAGCTTCTCAGGCCCCCACTGGCACAGGGAACGGTAAGTTGAGGACAAGGTTAAGGGGAGCCCAGAAAGAGCAGCGGGACCTCAGTGTATCTCGGGCCCCACTGCCTCTGGGCCATATTCTTCCTAGGTGACCCCACTTCTGTGCTGACTCTTCACTGCTGTTTCTTTTTCAAGGCTGAGGAAGGCTGATTGTCCTGGGAAGCCTCCTTTTCGGCACATAAAGGTGCTCAGCCCCAGCCCTGGTCCTTGGTGGGCACTCCCCTCTGCTCTAGACACTGTGTTGTAAACCCTTGCGGAATGTGCTGGATGAGGGCCCTCGCTTTTCCTCTGTAAGCAGAGTGCTGCAACTTTGTGACTTCAGTCCAGTTGGAACAGGATTGGAAGCTGTCGGGCAGAGAGAGAGCCCCAGGTTAGGCCCTGTCATCTTCCTCCTGTGCCTTGGAATATGTGCTGTGGCTCCCTGTTACTTGGCAGCTTGAACTAGAGCAGGTAGGAGAGGTCCCGGCCCCTCACCTGGCATCAGTGCAACTCCTCTCTTGAGTTCTAGCTAGACCCTGCATTGAATGCTTTGCTCATAGCTGTTCCCCAGGATTCAAGCAGCCCTAGTCTCTAGAAGAGGGGGCAGCTAGCCTCTGGGGCAGAGTGGTGCTCAAGTCTCAGCCATGGGCCTGGATATACCCATCTCTCTGTATATATTACTCATTTTAGTGCCTCCTCTTCTTTCTGATAGAGGCTTTGTATCTTTTGTTGTTGTTCTTAATTGCTATTGAGTCGCATGTGGCTCATAGCAACCCTGTGTTCAACAGCCCTGAACCCTGCTCCTCCTCTATCCTGAGCCAACCTCTTCATTCAGTCAATCTTTCTCATCTGGGGTCTTCCTCTCTTGTGCTTTCCCTCCACCCTTCCAAGCATGATGTCCCTCTCCAGGGACTGGTTCTTCCTTACATCATGTCCAAAGTATGTCAGAGGGAGATCTGTAATTTCTCTTTAAACGCAGGTTTAAAAGGACAATTAGAATTTTGTAAAGCTATCACAGAAATTGAATCCACCAGCCATTCATAGAGTCTCATTTTTAGGGGAAAAAAAAACCCCAAAATTAATGTTAGGAGTTGGTTATAGTTTGTTCCAAAGAGGACATGGGGTAGAGCAAATTGAGCAATGCCAGCTCGAGGCAGTGGATCAGGCAGAAGAGACTCCAGTGGCTCTGTTATTTTTTTCTTTTTATTAAAAAGATTTTTTTATTATACTAGTTTATTTACAAAATTTGACTACACTAAGCATGGAATAATTCACGTATTTGTGTGTCACCTTTGCGCAGTGGCCATGTATTGTTCCAGTTTCAGTATATGTGCTGCTGGAGCAAGCATGCTGTTACTCTTAATGGACTTCTGCCATCCCTTTATCCTTCCTCGCAAACGTCCTGAGGACCCAGCCCAGGTGCTGTGGTGTATCATGTGCCAGGCAGATGGAATGCCTGCCCTCCTGCAGCAGGAACACCTGGGTTCTGGGGATGGCAGACTTTGTGACTTGGGAGGGCAGGCAGCCTCCCCATCCTTTGTGATTGGTACTAAGCAGTGCCCATGGCAGCTATCAGACCTGAAGCCACTGTTGTGACTCACTCGAATTTTGTATTCTTACCTGCATCCCAAGTGATGTCATTCATTGAGTGTTAGGTTGTTAACTGGTTGGTGGTTTGAACCTACCAGGCAGCCAGCAAGATAAAGATGAGGCAGGAGGTAAGTAGCCAGGGTTCCTGCCTCCTGAGTGTCCATCCAGGGCTACCTCTGTCTCTGGAGCATGTGGTCTACACCTATATCCTTCCACTTTCTAGTTTTCATTCATCCTAATTGCCATTGAGTTGGAACTCACTCATACTGAACCTTCATTGGGTTTCTGAGGCTATAAATCACCTGGGAGCAGACTGCCCATCTTCTTGCCTTGGAGCCACCAGTGCATTCACACCACCAGAGAGGCAAAACGTCTGATTAACAGCACAACTTCAGAGACTTCACCACCGAACTCTCTCTTTCTAGCTCTACTAGATCAGTACTCGACACTTTTCTTATCTAACTGAGGGATCTTTGCTCATTCCTACTCAGCCTGGAGACTTACTCAGGCTTCTCTCTGTGGGGCTTCTCACCATAGTAATTTACCACATATGTTCATGCCTTACAACAGCCCCAGGAGTTTAATATATTTGTCTTCCAGACCCTGTCATCCTCAGAGGGGACATTGCTATATAATACTCAAGACCTGAAGTCTGGTTAAATCAGGATGGCTTTAAAACACGTGTAAGGAAGCACCAGATTCCTGCAGTGTCAAAAACTTGGGGAGTGGACATTGTAGCACTGATAGGTTAGTTGGTCCCATTTGAGAAAGAATACACCGGCAAGCGACACCTTGGTCTCTAAATCCCTATCCCAGCCCCTGTTCATGACCTCTGGCAAGGGCCTCAGGCTTCCTCATGCAAAACAGGAGGATGCCACCTGCCCTTTGGGTCTGTGGTGGGCTTAACTTGCTGATCCCCATAAGATAAGAGCTGGGTGAAAGCCTTGGGACCTCTATAACATTGTGACTTGGGAGGCTATGTTGTCTACTTGTCCTCTGTGAATTGATTCATTGATGAGCATTAGGTTTTTCCCGGTAGTCCTGTGGTCTTACTGATGAGAGTAAAATGATACAGGCAGTTGAAGATGTGGTGAATCAAACCACCTAAAATCACTGTGGACTATGTCAGAACTGGGGAATACTGTCAATTGTGAATCCTTCAGCCCATGTGCTTTCTTGTTTCGTAGTTCCTTTCCCCTCTGTACAGAGTATTTTGCAGATATCAAAAGAAATCTTACCCACTAAATTCTAACTCGAGAGTGACAAAACTGCTTCACTGTTCTCCAAAAAATCAGTCTCCCTTTTGCTGGGCCCTGGTTCTCTGTCAAAGAAGCCCTAGTGATGTCATAAGTGCCACTGCTAACCAAAGGGTCAGCAGTTCAAATACCCCAGCTGCTCCACGGGAGAGGGAGGAAGTAGGATTTACAGCCTGTGATGGAAGGTCAGGATCAAAGCAAGGAGTTTGATGTTTTGGGTTTTTTGTGTTCTGTCAGCTGACTTCTTTATCCTGTCTTGGCAGGCCTTTGTCCCAACTCCTCCCGGCCCCAGGCCAGCATCTCCCTCCTCTTCCGTCCTTCTCAGTCCTGTCAGTCAGCATGGGCCTCAGGAGAGGAAGTCTTCAGTTATGTGGCTGATGAATGGTTTCTTTAACACTGGGTTTTCTTTTGCAAGACATTCGTGGCTTGTAGCTTTGAGGTGGTCATTTGTTCTGGAGGCATGCTGAGGACACTGGCTCCCTCATGCAGGGACCAGGGTGGTGGCTCATCTTAAGAAGCTATGAAGAAAGATGGCTTGTGGTATACCGGGCCCGTGCCAGCACAGTTGGTCTCTCTCTTTGTCCCCCTCCTGCCCTCACACCCTCCACAGCCACGTCTCCCTTGTCCATCAGCTCTACCTGGTTCGCAGTCCCCAAAAGTTCTTGACATTTTCTTACCCACTGGATGGACAGGGGCTCAGACTGGCCTGGGACTCAGTGTTTCCTGAAGTGCATATGTCCCTACAGGGAGGAGTGGATGCAGGCCATCCAGATGGTTGCCAACAGCCTCAAGCAGCGGGGCCCAGACAAGGACTCTATGGATTACAAGTGTGGCTCTCCCAGTGACTCTTCTGCAGCAGAGGAAATGGAAGTGGCGGTCAGCAAGGCTCGGGCCAAGGTGGTAAGTGCCCAGGGCAGGTGACCAGCAGTGGGGGCTGCCAGTCTGCAAGCACCTCCAGGACAGGTCCTGCAATTGGTGAGCATCCATACAGCAGAGGCAGTGGACCATTCGAGGGGACTGTCAGACTCCAGAGATGAGGCATATCAGGACCTGCCCACTTGTGTCAGAGCCCTGGGCCTGCTGTTGTGTGCACAGAGCTGGGAGGCCTTGAGCTGTAGGCCATCTGCCCAAAGCCTCTCTTCCTGCCTCTAGCCCGAGCTGAACAGTTTGGCAGCAGTGTCCTTTGCCTTTCCTCTTTCTTTGTTCAGATGTCCTCCCACAGGGCATGTGCCAAGCCCTGACTTCCCCGTCTCCCTTTTTCTCCCTCTCCCTCTGGGCAGACCATGAATGACTTCGACTATCTCAAACTCCTTGGCAAGGGCACCTTTGGCAAAGTCATCCTGGTGCGGGAAAAGGCGACAGGCTGTTACTACGCCATGAAGATCCTGCGGAAAGAGGTCATCATTGCCAAGGTGGGTGTTGCCAAGGCCCAGCACCCACCCATGTGGTTGCCTTCTACACCCAGGTCTTCCCTCTCCACACAAATCTATCCCCTCTTAGACTCAGTCCTGTAAGGGCCACTCAAAAAAGAGAGTCTGAGGCCCAGAGAGGAGCCTGCTGCGATACCCTGCTCCAGGGTGCCTGGGGACTGCTGGGGGAGAGCGAGTGGCAGTCAGGACTGGAGAGGAGGGCCCATGAGATGATGAAAGTCTTGGGGGGAGGGGGGAAGTTCTCAGGGGGCCCCAGGAGGGCTGCTGTAATGGGAATGGAAGGCTGTTTCTTGCTTTCCTTTCCTCCCCCCTCCTCATTTAAAGATTTTTGTAATGGAAAATCCCAAAGCTGCACAAAATTTTAAAAAGTTCTCTTGTGATGGTTAATTTGATTTTAAAAATCACCAACATTGGATCAGCCTCTTTTGTTAGCGCTGCCCCTCCCTTCTTTTATTGTTCTAGAATGTCTTACAGTGTATTCTGGGCACCCTGTCATTTCATTCATGTGTACTTAGGTAGGTATCTTTAACAGGTAAAGATTTTAAAGAGTATAAACATATTACTGTGATCATACCCAGAGTAACACACTTGGCTGCTGACTGAAAAATTAGAGATATACATTTACCCAGAAGCACTGATGTTGGAAGAAAGACCTGGTGATCTCCTTGTGAAAGGTCCCCACTACTGCAAACCCCATGGGGCACGGTCAAGTCAGAATCTACTTGACTCTGTATTGATGATCGATAATAATTACTTATTATCATACTTAATAAAACTAAGCAATTCCTGAAGCACAGTTGGCCTAAGGCAAGATTTTTCCACCTCACCACTGTTGACATTTTGGAGCTGACCATTCTTCATGTAGAGAATGGTCCTGTTTATTGTAGGTTGTCTAGCCACACCCATCTCTACTCTAAAGCCACTGCGGGCACATACACCCCTGGCACCTGTTTGTCTCCTGGCATCCCCAGCTGTCCCCTGTGGATCGCTCTTCCCCAGAATTGAGCTGGAGTCTGTGAATTGTCACAAGCAAGCAGGAGTTTGGACAACTTGCCAGGTGGTCAGGCTATGCCTGATGAGAGGCTAGACTTGAGCCTGCCCCACCAGCGGGCTGTGAAATAGTGCTCTGCCTGCCCCACCAGCGGGCTGTGAGATAGTGCTCCGCCTACCCCTGGAGAGGCAGAAGCAGGGGTGGAGGGTGCGTCCTAAGATGTTGATTTTTCCACTAGTTCCAAGTGCTGGCTGTGACTGCTACTGCCGCCAGTATGGGGACTCTCTGGGATCTGGAACCTTGAATAGATCTAGTTGGTTCTTTAGTTGGCGGTGATTCCCACGCCCCATGGCAGCACTGCAGGGTTCTCTGTCTGAGGTTTTGACCTGTGCAACAATGAATGAATGAAATCCAAGTTCTCTATAAACTCATGAAAATCTCAGTTGAAATTTTAAAAAAGGAAGATAATTTAAAAAAAAAATTAAAAAAGACTCCTCTAGGTCAGGTGGTAGCTAGATGCTTCCATCATAGTTTATATCAACTTTTCACTTCTTTGGATCCAGTTTGAGTCCGTTGTTTAAGGTTGTAAATGGTATTTGCATCCTGTCATTCCTTCTGCGTTTTTTAGCTAGGATTAGAATCTTTCTCCAGGACCTGGGTCCTCACCTCCTTCAGGGTGAATCAGGAAGCTGTTTCTCACCAGCTTCACTTCTGGCCCCTCTACAGGATGAAGTCGCCCACACAGTCACTGAGAGCCGTGTCCTCCAGAACACCAGGCATCCGTTCCTCACTGTGAGTTGCTTGCTCTGTCACATGCCCTGAGGCCAGAGCTGAGGGAGAGCCCTGATCTGGTCTCTACGAAGCACAAACAGGCTGTAGACTGGGTGGACTCCTAAAGTCACAAGAGTGGCAGGTCAACTCCTTCATAGATTGTAACCTCAAGTAAGCACTTAAGCCAACTGGTGACCCCAGAGCTTGATTGCTGTCTGAGAGTTAGGACACGTAGCATGCATGTCAGAGTGGGAACATTTTGCAGCTGCTTTTAAGATGGAGTCCTAATCACTTAAGTTGAGAAGACCCTTCTTGGGGTTTCTGACTTGCATCAAGGCTGGAAGCCAGCATCTAATTAGCCCAAGTAAAATTAGATCATTTCTTGAGCTCAGTTACTGTGTAGATGTCTTACTGAGCAACAGAACTAATGAAAATGAAGTTGTATTAGGTGTTTCAGTGTATAACATACATAATGGTAGAATTGTCGTGTGTAGAGAACTCCTTAGAACAATTTGAGAACTGATGTTTATTGACTGACAACTTCTTCTCCTTCTACAGAAGGCCACTTCTGCTGCCAGCACCTCCACATTGTGCATGCAATGTGTGTGTGTGAACGAATCTGTGTGTGTTTGTGAGAGAGAGAAAATGAGAGAAATGTAAAATAGCTCTAGATGCTCAGAACAGAATTTCTCCTTGGCCAAACTCTTATAGTCTTGTGTCAAAGGCAGGCAGGAGATAGCTCCACACAGATACCATTTTATAAGCCAAGTGTCTACTCACATCTCTTCATAGGCAAGGCTGGTCTTTGTATTCAGCTACCAGGTGCAGAGCATGGGCTGCTGGAGGGTTTGCAAAATTAGCTGTACTCCTGCTTCCTTTTCCCCCTCCTGCCCTCTAGGCACTGAAGTACGCTTTCCAGACCCACGACCGCCTGTGCTTCGTGATGGAGTATGCCAATGGTGGTGAGGTGAGCAGACGATCCTGCCTAGCTTTTGAGGATTTCCTGGGAATGAGGGAGGCTGAGAGGGAAGTGTTGGTGAGCTGGTGGGGCTGAGGCAGGCCAGAGACATCAGAGACTTCTGAATGGCATCTTGTTGCATATCCTTTCCCACAGCTCCCTTGGTGCAGGTGGGGAACCTGAGGCTCAGCGAGGTTCAGGCTTGCCCCAGATCACACAGCTAGTGAGTTAGTGGGACAAGGTCTGGTCTTAGTTCAGCGAGGCACATAGAAAGGGCAGTGGGAAGAAGAGAGTGGACAGATGCTAGCTTACAGAGGTTGCTCTTAAAGGCTCCAAAGAAAACATGAGACTTAAAGCCCATCAGTCATTTCTTCCTGGGTCTTCCTGTTGTAGATAAATCTTGCTCCCTTTCAAGGAGTTGCTCTCACTCCCTCCTGTTTGTCCCTCATTCTCTCTGTGATAAAATGTGACCCAGTTGGCCTCTTACTGCTCACTGTTTCTAGCTCATGGTTATGGGTGCGTCTTTGCTGACTTGCTGTCACTACTCATGCCATCCCAACTTACTATCTCATTGGTGCCAGCTGGCTGTCCCTTACTCCTTGTTAGGTTGTTTCTGTTCTTCAGGTGAGCGCTTCCCTGCCCGTGTCTAATTCTGTCCCTCTTGCTATCACTTACGGGTTCATGCAACATGTGTCATTGGGTCACTAAACTGGGTGCCAGAAAAGTCAAGACAGGTGGGTGGGCTGGGTCCTCACCTCCCACCTCCTGCTGTCTTCGCACAGTTGTTCTTCCATCTGTCCCGGGAGCGCGTCTTCACGGAGGACCGGGCCCGGTTTTATGGCGCAGAGATTGTCTCAGCCCTTGAATACTTGCACTCGAGGGATGTCGTATATCGTGACATCAAGGTGAGCCCATGACTGTCTCTGAGTACTGTTACTCTGTTCTGAGGAGTCGGGAGAGCTAGGGTCCAGGCTCTCCTGTTCAGAAAAGTGAGGCTCATGTCAGGGAGGGTGGGCCAGGTGCTCTGCTCTTACCTGCCACACTTCTTCTCAGAGAGGGTGAGGCTGGCCTGTGTTTCTGAGTGTCATCCCTATCCAGGTGCAATGTGGTGGTTCTATCACAACAACCCTGTGATAGGAGCTTTCTGAGGCTTTGGTGAGCGCTCCTGTGCTGCCACGGAGGTGATTGAGTCAGTAGAGCCATGGAGAAGATGGTTTGGCAGTGTCCGCCAAACATGAACACATTTACCCTGGGACCCAGCAGTCTTATCTTATTAATGTCTTCAACACAAACCCCTCTGCACACCTATGTTTATTGTTGCATTATTCACAATAGCAAAGAAATGGAAACAACCCAAGTGCCCATCGGCAAACAAATGGATAGAGAAGCTGTGGTATATTTACACAATAGAATACTATGCATCACTGAAGAAACAAGGAACTCATAAAATATTATATAAAATGGGTGACCCTGGAGGACTTTGTGATGAGTGAAATATCTCAGTCACAAAACGACAAATACTGCATAAGCCACTGTTGTAAAACAGGACTGACATGGGATTTGGGGGGAAACTAAGAAAAGAGGGGATAAATAATGTATACTGCATTGAAACAGATGAAGGAAAGAACTGTTTAAAAGGAATATATTGATTAGGTGTAATTTGCATGACAACAGTCCAGAATAAGAGCTGAACTGGGGTAGGGGAAGGGAATTGTATAACAATGAAAGAATTTTTATTTTTTATTTTTTTCTCCAAATAAAAAAGCATTTTCCCCAGGAAAATGTGCAATAATGAATGAATGGGAATCCAAGTTCTCCATAAACTTTCATTAAAAAAAAATTTTTTTTAAACCAAAACACATACCACTCACATGCCTATGGCAGCACTGTTTGCAGCAGCCCAGAAACACACTTACAGGAGAGTGAGGAAAGCAGGCTGTGATATAGCTAGGGCTTCAAACTAGTTTTAACTGGCATAGTCATGGCCAGTGATAGTTAAAATTAGAACAGATCTGGATCTTTAGAATTTATTGGAAGAGTAACTGGAATGGGAAAATTATGGATTGAAAATGGGAAACTCAAAAGAGTTGTAGTGATCCCTTTCAGGAGCCTGATGCAGAAGATTGGAATGACTGTAGAGCGTGACACGTTCAGTACAGCAAACTTGGGAACTATCTTTGAGTTGGGAACCATGATTTCCAACTCTGCTGGTAATGCTATCTTTGGTTTCCTCTGTTTTTTAGTTATTTGAAAGAAAGTGTACAAAGTAAATTCTTTTCCGTTCAACTATTCATATGCATTTTGTTTTATAACTCTTCTCACTTCCTTCCTATGATTTTCATTCCATTAATCCTCCTATCCTGTCCTTTCCTATCTTTTTGGCTTTACCCTTGGGTAAGTAAGTGCTGCTTCTTTGGCCATATATGGTTGTCCTAAGGGTGAATGCCTCCTTGGTGATTTTGCCCCTTATAGGCCTCTGTTGTTTGGCTGAAAGTTGAGCGGCAGGGATGAGTTTTTCCCCAGTTTTAGAGGTTTATTGGGGACCACAGTCTTTGGAGATTCTACCAGTTTTTGTTAGATTAGGAAGCTACGTTTTGTTTTACATTTCCCCTTATTCTATCCCAGGTTCTTCTATTGTGGTCCCTTCTAGAGTATTCAGTAGTGGTGGCTCTTATGGTCTCAGGGTCATGGAAATTGATGTTTGCCTAGTCCATTAGCTCTAATTGTTTGTGAATATTATATTTTTTCCTTCTTGGTTCTGGACAGAGTACCGTTGTTTCCTAGGAGAAAGATTAAGTTATAACTGGAAGTCAATCCGTAATTTTTCCCATGCTATTTATCCTTGTATACTCATATTTTATAAATTTGGGCCTATTCTGCTTTCACTTTGTCTGCCATGAACATAGCAGTGTTTTGTGCTCACATACTTTCCCCAGAGCCACACTACCTTGCAGCATTATCTCCCAGGTGGCTTGTTGAGCGAGAAGGTAGCCTCAGTGTGGCTTACGGGTGTATACATAGGTGATAAAAGCTTGAAAGAAAGCCAAGGAAATGAAAGTTACTTCTAAGTCAGAGGATGGTTAATAACTAGGACACAGGGGGTCCTCTGCGCGGGGGGGGGGGGTCCCCTGGTGGAAGTGACACAGAAGTTCACTTCTAATTTTTTATTATCTTCCCTATTTGTATTTTATGTTTCAGAATTTAGGGCAAGGAGAAGTAACAAAAGGATAGAAGATAGAACCCCTCCCATCTGAGGCTGGGCCTTGTCGCCCGTGTGGTGATCACTGATCACTCAACTCTCACTGGCAGGCTTCTTGGAGCCAGGCTGGCTCCTCCTCTGCCTCCTGTTGTGTCAGGTGGAGGGGGAAGGTGTAGGATCTGTGTGGTTTGTGCAGAGTGGAGCCTGTAGCATGACAGCCAACACCCATTCGACAGCCCCCTTTAGGAAGGGGCAGTGGCCTGAGGAACCTAGCAGGATGTTGGAGAGCCCAGCAGGGACATGCTCCTGATATGCTGACTTTTTCCTGCAGCTGGAAAATCTCATGTTGGATAAAGATGGCCACATCAAGATCACTGATTTTGGCCTGTGCAAAGAAGGCATCAGCGACGGGGCCACCATGAAAACCTTCTGTGGAACCCCAGAGTACCTGGCGCCTGAGGTATCTGGGACTGAAGGGTGTGAGGAGTGTAAGGCAGGGCTGTGAACCCTTTGCCCCCAGGCAAAATCATGAGGCCTGAAGGCCCTGGTCAGCTCCTCACTGCCCTCCTCCTTCAGGTGTTGGAGGACAATGACTACGGCCGGGCTGTGGACTGGTGGGGCCTGGGCGTGGTCATGTATGAGATGATGTGTGGCCGCCTGCCCTTCTACAACCAGGACCATGAGCGCCTCTTCGAGCTCATCCTCATGGAGGAGATCCGATTCCCGCGCACGCTCAGCCCTGAGGCCAAGTCCCTGCTTGCTGGGCTGCTTAAGAAGGACCCCAAGCAGAGGTGAGAGAGAGAGTGCTCAGCCTGGCTCAGAGAGGCATTGATGTTCTTTCTTACTGTGCTCCATCTAGGGGTGACCGTCCCCACTCAGCTCCCTCAGGAGCTGCTTATGATGGGGGCATTGAGGAAAGGGCATGACTGCTCCCTGATGAGGGTCCCTGAGTTGTAGTTGGAAGAGCTGGACTGTGAACCTAACTATGAGACCACACAAGCTACCTGCTCTGCCTTGGGTGTGTGAGCTCCCCTTTCAGCCTCAGTTTCTCATCTGTGAAGAGTGAGTTTATGGCTGGGACACATTCATTAAAGACTGTTGAGGGCCTTCCCCAGGTGCCTGTCTCCCGGCACCTGGCTATCCTGGGGTGAGGTGCTGATGCCTGTCTTTGCCCAGGCTTGGTGGGGGGCCGAGCGATGCCAAGGAGGTGATGGAGCATCGGTTCTTCCTCAACATCAACTGGCAGGATGTGCTACAGAAAAAGGTGAGGCCCCTGCCTGCCCCCACTGGTGAGCTCATGGATGGCTTGATTGGTACCCACCTCAGGGTCCCTGAACCTGGGCTCCTCTCCTGTAGCTACTGCCACCCTTCAAACCTCAAGTCACATCTGAGATTGACACAAGGTACTTCGATGATGAGTTCACCGCCCAGTCCATCACAATCACCCCCCCAGATCGCTGTGAGTATCAAGGTCCTCTCATCTGGCCTGGCTCTGGGGTGGGGTGGCATCTGCGCTCAGCCCAGCTCTTCAAAGAGGAAATACCACATTTCTGCTTTCAGGCCTTTCCTCATTGTCTTCTTTTGAACCTACTGGGTGAAGGGGAAGTAGGATGCAGGAGGCTCCAGCATTCTAGGTGGGAGACCATGTGGGGAGTTAGCACTGGTGAGATGACACATTCATCACTGTCTCTCAGAGTTGCCCAAGTCTTTGCAACTGAATTGAGTTGCCTGAGTCTTCACAACTGAATTGGCCCACTAGCTGTGCCCAAGACTACCCCGGGTCTGCCCTGTGGAATCCCAGACCAAGGGGAAAGAGAGCCCTGTACCTAGATGGTGACAGCCACAGGACTGGGTGGGAGCTCCCAGAGAAGAAATTCCAGCTGAACCTGGGTCGGAGGAGCAGTGTATGCTAAGTTGCATTTCACAGGAAGGTGGTCAGGGAGGTGGTGAGAAGAGTAAAGAGCACTGGAGCCAGAGGAGGCAGAAGGAGTGGTGTTATTTTCCTAGGAGCTCAGGGGGCCATGGTAGAGTTTTGTTTAGAAGACTGTCAGGGTCACCTCAGGAGGGTGCGTTGAAGTGGTCAAGGTTGGGGACCAGGGCTGGGCCAGGGAAATGCCCTCAGGCTGGTAGGCCAGGGGATGCCCTCAGACCTATAGGTGAGGGTTCTGGTCTGAGGAATGAAGCCACTCCAAGAGGGGATCTAGCAGAAGGACATGCATGCCCAAAGGTCCGGGCCTGCCCTTCGGATGCCCTCCCTACCACACTTCCTCTGCTGGTCTGACTGTAGTCCTTTTCTCCAGTGCCCTGGGATTCTGGGCTTTCCGATGGTAGGCCCCTAATCCATCTCCCCCACCTCCACAGATGACAGCCTGGGCTCCCTAGAACTGGACCAGCGGACCCACTTCCCACAGTTCTCCTACTCAGCCAGCATCCGCGAGTGAACTGGCTCCACCGACTGACTGCCACTACACGAGGCACAGATGGCTTTTAAAAAACTTTTTATTTTGCTTTTTTTTTCCTGGTTTGTGTTCCTGCCCCTCACCTCCTTAGCCTATTCCCAGCTTTTTTATCAGCCTTCTCTCCAATTCCTCCGTGGTCTCAGAAGCCTTTGCTCCAGGGAATACCCTTCCCCCCACCTAGTGCCCAGCCTAGTATCAGGAGACTTCCAGCCCCAGAACCAGGCCTTGGGAAGCCAAGGAAATTATATTTTTAATCAACACAAGCCCTGGTAAGGGATGGAGCAAGGCTGCTATCTACACACTGCTGCTGTTGCTCCTTCAGGACAGAGGAGGCTGCCTCCTCTTGGACCCACACTCAGCAATGGCACTGGTGCTACCTGCAAACCTGTGGCCTCAGCTCTGAGTGGCCTGGCCTGACCTGGAGCAGCCCAGCCTGCCCCCCATGGGAGCAGAAAGGCAATAAATAATGTCTGGGGCCCAGTGGGACCTGAGAAGTCAGGGGAATCGCAGGGCTCCCTTGGATGGATGGGACTGTGTCCTCAGCCCTGCCCCCAGGAGTGGACCACAGTGGACACTGCCTCTCTACCATGCCTTTGCTTTGCCTCATCTCTCAAGCTGCTGTCCTGACTTTGAGAGTGAGGCAAGAGAAACATTTTGGGACAACCCCTGCTCCCAGTCCCGTGCCTTACCAGGGCTTCCTTCCAGCTGGCCATCTCTCCTGTTGGACCTTGGGCCTTTGTCTAGCCCCATTTGAGGGCAAGCACTGGTTCACCCCATCTTCCTGCTGGGGCTGAGGTTCCTCCACTCAACTTGGCTCTTATACATGTCACACCAGAACAGTATTGGTCCCTGAAGGACAGGCTGAGGAGCAGGAGAGGATAAGAGTCTGGTGTATGGGGCAGGCAGTATCTGAGGAGGGAGGCCCCCGGTCCACTTGCCCCTCCCAACTGTCTAGGACCTCAGTTCTACAGCCTTAAAGTGAGTGTGAGTGTAAGGACATGGCAGTGCTGTGGCATATGGTGCCTGAATGCTGCATGTCAGGGACACAGTACACATGGGTTCATGTGCTTGGATCTATATGTGCATATGTGCTCTGTGTGTGTGTGTACACAAGCATGTCTAGGTCCTTGAGAGAGAGCGAGAGAGGGAGGGAACGCCTGCCCTACCCTCATCTCCTTTCCTCTCCCACCTAATACCTTTAGGTATTTGGAATTTCATTTTTGTGGTTTTGACCCTCTCAACCTCCTCTTGAACAAGACAGTTCACAGAAGGGCATGTGGGGTAGGGATGGGAATGGGGGGATGGGTAGGGTCTGTGGGTGGGGTGTGTGTGTGTGTGTGTGTGTGTGTGTTCCCTGACTTCCCTGAACCCTCCAACCCTTCTCAGTTTTTCTTGTATTTGTACGGTACTAGCAATAAAGACCGGAGCTCAGCCTACATTTGTGCTGGCCTGACACCTGACCTCCCTTGCTTATGCAGTTCAGTCAGTCCCTGCACCCCAGCTGTTCCCTTCGCCATGTTCAGAGGGTCCACTCAAGCCCGAGGTGGGGAGGCAGATGGGAGAGCTCAGACTGGAGCTGGAAGTCGGAGTGAGCTACGTGCACCTCTGGACTGGAGCAGCTTAGGGATGGGTCCCCTCTGATTTTCCTGGTGTACAGCTTGGTGATAACAGCTGTTAGTCATGTTGTATTACCATTGCCCTTAAAATCTCACTGCCATGAAGTTGATTCCAGCTCATGTCCACAGGGTTTCCAAGGCTGTAAATCGTGATGAGAGAACACTGTCCACCTTTCTCCTATGGAACAGCTGGTGTATTTGAACCTTTCCATTTTGGTTAGCATCCTAACACACAGGCAACCAGGGCTTAAGCTAAAGCCAAACACATAGCTGTCAACTTGGTTCGGACTCATTGTGACCCTCCATTGGGTTTCCAAGGCTGTAAACCTTAAAGGGAGGAGATTACCCATCTTTCTTCAAGGAGATGAAGGTGGAGTCAAACTGCAGGAAATATTCTTTGGCCTTTTGGTTAACAGTGCAGGCATGCTACAGACTGCATCAGCTGCTCTAAGTTGGTCCTAATTTTTCTAATACCATCAACAAAAATGCACTACTATTTTGTAGTGGAAGGGAGAAATTTCCTTGCTCCCTCACTGATAACCTCTTTTAACCACTGGATAATGTATTGTGTTACTTTTTGTGAGACCTTACAAATTTTTGCCCTTTTGTGATAGGCTTTATGAAATAAGCTCGGCATTACCTCAAGTTCATTCATTTGTTGCATGTATATGGACTTCATCCTTCTTTAAAACTGAGTAGTGGTATATTGAATGTGTATGAACCATTTATCCATTTATTTAATGAAGGGCACTTGGGTTGTTTCCACCTTTTTCTAATGTCAGTGATTAGTGTACATAGTAGCTCTTTATGATACTTTTGGGTCCATAGGATGTATACTTAGGAGTGAAATGGATGTGTCATCATTTCTCATTTTTTGAGAAATCACTGTACAGGTTGCCACAGTGGTTGTGTTAATTTTATGTTCCCACCAACAGTACATAAAGGTTCCCATTCCCCTCATCCCTTGCCAACATTTGTTTTTTTGTATTGTTTTTGGTCAGTGCCACTTTAACAGGCATGAAGTATAGTATCTCATTGTAGTTTTAATTTTTGTCTCTAATTGCTGGCCACTTGGATATCCTTTTTTGTAAAATGTTCACATTTGCTTAAAAATGAGTTCGCCCAATTTTTGTTTGGGTTGTCTTTTCGCTGTTGAGTTGTAGCTGTTTTATGTATGTTTTAGATGCTCATATATGTATTTATTTATACTTGGACTGCCAAGAAAAGAAATAAATCATCTTGGAGAGGGTGAAACCTTGAAATCCTTGAAGGCTAGGATTTTGAAGCTCTGTCTCACGTACTTTGGGCACATGGTCCAGGAGCAACCAGTCCTTGGAGAAGAACATCATGCTTGGAATAGTGGAGAGAGAGTTCAGGAGAAGACACTAGATGAGATGGATTGATACAGTAACTGGGGTGATGAGGGTAGGTGTATCGGCGTCAGTGAGTCTGTCTCAGGACAGGGCAGGTTTCATAGCTGTTGTACATAAAGTCATTATGAGTTGCAGGCAACTAAACCACATAACAATAACAACAACAACATGTGTTCTAGGCTGTATCATTCCCAAATAATTTGTCCCCAGTTTGTAAGTTGATTTTATTTTTTTATGAACTATTTCCTTTTTATGAAGTCCAAGTTTCTATTTGTCTTCTGATGAGTTAGTAATTTTATTTGAATAATCTAATTTAAAAAACAACAGCCAACCTAGGTCCTTTGGTTTTCTTCTGTAAACTTTTTTTAAGTTTTTTTAAATTTTATTATTTGTGTGTGTGTGTATATCGTCAAATCGGATCTGACTGGTACAGAAGATTACCTCTCCTTTTCCAGCAGAGCATCTGGTGGATTTGAACCACATACCTCTGGGATTGCAGTGCAGCTTCTTGCCACTAGGCCACCAGCGCTCCCTATGTATCCACAGATATATGCATCTATTGCTGGCCTCCCAGTTTACTTTGTTGTCTATTTGTCTGTCATTGAGCTAGTACTAGGCAGTTTTGTTTACTGTACAGTTAGAGTATGTTTGGAAACTAGGGAGTCTGGAGCATCTGACTTTTTTATTCTTAAAAATGGCTTTGGCTATTTGGAGCTTCTTTTCATAAAAAGCTGTTCATTTCTCCTCCGTCTCCCAGATTAACAGTGCTATTGGAATTTTTACCAGGATTGCATTGAATGTGTAGATGAGTTTGGGTAATATTGATGCTTTGACAATATTAAGTCTTGGAATGAGTTTAGAATGGTTTGCCATTTATTTTTATCTGGTTTAGTCTCTTACAATAGTGTTTTATAACTTGTGGTATATAAGTCTTTCACATCTTGATTAGATTTATTCCTAGGTTACTTGTTAGTATTATTAATTTTAGATGCTAAAGTAAGTACTATTAAAGTATTAACTAAGTAGTAAATGTAGTAAAGTAAATAAGTAGCTTTAAAGTAAGTAGTATTGTTTCCTTGATTTTTTTCATATTGCTGCTTGTTAGTATATAAAAGCCCAGCAAATTTTTGTGTTTGAATTTTTCCAAATTCTTCCAGCAGTTTTCTTTTGAAGTCTCTGGGATTTTCTATATACAGAATCATACCATCTGTATATAAGGATAGTATTACTTTTTGCTTTCTAATTTGAATACCCTTTACTTCCTGTTCTTGGCTCACTACTGTGGCTATGACTTCAGGATGATATTGAATAGAAGTGGTGATAGTAGACATCCTTTCTTGTTCCCATTTTTAAAAGGAAGGCTCTCAGTCTTTATTGAGTAGGATATTGGTAATTTTCTTAGATGATTCTAATCATGTTAAGGAATTGTCATTTCCCCTCTCTTATTCTTTTTTGCTGAGCATTTTTATCAGGAAAAAGCATTTTTTCAAATACCTTTTCTGCATGTGTTGAAATAATGTTTTCTTCCCCCCCCTTCTTAGTAGTATGGTATATTGTATTGCTTCTTCCAGTATTGAACTAATCAGCTCTTCCTCAATAAATCCTACTTGGTTATGGTATATAATTCTTTTCATATATTCTTGGTTTCCGTATATTAGAATTTTGTTAAGAGTCTTGGCATCTATTCATGAGGGATGTTAGTCTAATTTTTCCTTGTCATGTCTTTATCTGGTTTTGGTATCAGGATATATTTGCTTCATAGCACACATTAGGATATATTCCTTTCTCTCTCGTATTTGGGAAGAGTGTGTGCAGAAATGGTGTCAGTTTTTCTCTAAATGTGCTGTAAACTTTCCCAGTGATGCCATCTGATCCTGGACTTCTCCCCTCACCCCCCATTTGAAGGTTTTCATGACTAATTCAATTTTTTGTTGATTTGTTGATATTTTCTATTTTGGTTTGTGTTAGTAATAAATCAGTTGTGTTTCTAGTA